TTATATTTCTGTTAAATTATTGGAAAGTTGGGTGAAGTAGTTAGTTAAAATAGAAAGTGTGGTTGAAGTGAATTTGTAAAAGTGACTAATTAAAATAGAGAATGTAATATTTAAATATATTTTGAGTAACTATTTTCTAGAGTTGAGTTGGAGATGCTCTTAGGTGACATGTACTGATTTTTAACGGAATTTGAAACAAATGTTAGTTTGAGGTGAGGGTCGGAACTAATTTATGATATTCAGAGTATAAATTGGAAAAAAATAATCTTTCGAGATATAAAGTGGAAATTGAGATATCTTTCGAGATGTAAAGTTTAAAATCGAAAAAAAAATAAATAAATATTTAAAATTTTAGACTTTTTGGGGGATTGGGATTGCACTGGGTGATGCAAAACAAAAATTAAAATTATCCTTAAAACAATAAAATGTTTCAACTTGTATTTAATACCATTTTTTTTTAATAAAAATAAAACCGAGTGACTTTTAAGTGGACCGATTTTCAAAAAGCACTTTAATTTTTGTAAAAAGATATGGTAAATTGTGGATCTCATTAAATATCTAATTGATAACGAGCCCAACTCCATCAACAAAACATTTAATTCTATTTACCAACAAAAAAAATACCCAACAAGCCCTCCAACAACTCCGAAGTCTACAACTTTTAAGGATCAAAATTCCATTCTAAACTAGTAATTATGATTGTAATTGTCTTTGATAACCTAAAAGAATGGTGTCTAGACTTTACAGCCAAAAAAAATTACTATAAGGTAACAGCCTCCAAAAAGTTTAATATATTATAGTTAATTTTAAAATAACTTATATGATACTATTTTTTGTTTACAGTACCACTTAATCGTATTATTCTTGTTCAATTTTAATCTAATTTATTTATTATTCATATTAAATTGATAGTGTTATTTTCGATTTTTGTATCATGTTAAGTTCGTTATGTGTAAAATTGACAACCCAAGTTAAGAGTCACTGTCTAGCATTAATCTAATTACTAGGTGAATTTGACTTGAATGTTGGCCATCCTTAGGCTAGTACCACATTAGTATCCTCTTATCTGTAGCTTTTGTTGGTAAGTTAGGCATAGACCAAAGAGGAGTAAATATTTGATGTAACACTTCCACTATGTGCTCATCGCCGTGTGATACATTAATTAATCTATATCTATATCTATACGGCTCTTAAAAGTGACTAAAGATGAAAAACATTTTTTGCCTTTGCTACCCCCAAATAGTGTGACAAAGTCATTCTTATCCCTAGTATGACTTCTGGATGGCCATTATTGCTATTTTCACATTGTAGGTTGAATAACGTTCTTAAATCACCATAAATGGATGTAGTTTACTCCGACCCTTTGAATCTTTCTTTGAATGTTACTTCCTTCATATCTCTCTCTCCCCCTTTCCCCCTTCCACTCCCTCACCCTCTCCCTCTGTTTCAAAAATCGACTCCGCTTCTACTTCTTTAAAAATTCAATTAAATGGTTGGGGTGTCGAAGGATAAGCCACCCATAAATTCAGACAACCATCAATGGCTGCAGTTTCAAGTGATAAGCTACCCATAAATTCAAACAATTTGGTGCCAAATTTGTGACTGTTAAGCGAGTGCCGGTTATGACAATAACATCAGGGAGTTGGAAATCTCCAGGAATAATTTTCACTTTAATAGTCCTGTTGAAGTGATCGTCTTGGGTGATAGTCAGATGCTTGATCTCGCCCATTTCTTCGACAATGCCTATCAGAAGGGATTTAAATGGGATACTTGTTCGAAGGTAAAACTAGACTTCTCTTTCATTTCCCTTTGCTGCGTCCAGGTTCTTTTTTTCTAATGTAACTCATATATCGATGGAATTTAACATGGAATGCAACAAGTCTGAATGGCCTAGACCTGTTACCCATGAATCTTTTTTCTCTCTGTTTCTGGATTTCTCATTGATTATTACTTTGATGTTTCTCTAGAAAAATATTGCAAATTAGACAATTGTACAGTCAAATTTTAGCCAATAGCATTCCATTGTGGGTGTACCCAAAAAAATAAGACGCTTGGATGCATCAGAAAAATTTGGGAATGTGTCTAATGAAATCTGGGTGTAGTTTTATGAATCTTTTGAGCTCCATTGGATTATATCTGATAGAATTCAGATAAAAAAAAAATTGAAGTTAAAGCTCCCAACCGCTTTAATCGATTTTAATTCATATTATTTATTTTGTTTATTCTCTTTAGGTGCTACTTTGTGGGGATTCTCATGATAATATGGTATTATCTGTTTTGTTGAAAGGCCTACTGCTTGGTCCATCTATTACTTCAGAAGAGTAAAAAAAGTCTCTGTCAAACTATTTCAAAGGAGCTCATGGTTTGAAGGAACCCACCAGAGTTCACGCCATTGCGTGGTTAGCATAAAATGTGTAGAGTGAGTTTGATGTAGCAAAATGTTTATCACCATCTGCTTTTGATGAATTGACAAAAATATAACAGGAACCCGTGGAACTAATCAGGTTTTTGGGAGTTCCTATCATATTGAATAATTGGAATTGCAAGAGCATATTTATTGTCTGACTTGTGCATTTTGATCGTTCTAATATTTTTATCGTGCATTTTGAAGGTTGTAAAGTCTAATGGGTATGCATATACAGTGGTGTAAGCAGGCATGATCTGTCATTACAAACTTGGGACCGCAGACATCATTGCACCGAGTCAATTGTGGTCTCTCTTTCTCTCTGTCCCCTAGCTGCCCACACACACAAAGCCACAAACAAACATCTTAGGTTGCCACTAATTCTTGCCCAGGTTTATGTTTCAAAAATTTTGTTTAGGTGTAGATAATTGACAGATTTTTAGATATTGCAATGTCTATTTTGTTTAACCAAAAGTGAGATTATTACTAGAAATGATGTCCGAACAGTCTAGTTGAGATGATCTTTCATCAAAGTTGCGTATTGAGGGTTCTTTTTTTTCCTTTGACACACTTCTCCTAAATTCTTTTTTGAATATTATAATTAGGGACACCCTATCAATTGTATGTCCTTCAAATGATTGTAACAGCATGCCAGCCAATTGCTTAGATTCTTCTTTGAGGGCTCCTGGACAAGTAAATTTTTTTAACCCATACCTTCCAAAAAAAACACTTTATATTATATCGGTCGATATCGCAACTATTTGCAAGAATATTCTAGATTCTCCTCCAATTTTTCATTTGGAAATAATTTCTACTTTTGATTACAAGTAGCCGGTAACTTCTTGTTTTAAGGTTTAGAATCAATTGTTATAGGGTGGGGCTATTCTCACTCGACAATTCTCAATGTCCACTCTATTTAATTTATCATTATCACACTATTAAATCCACCCCATTAGTAACGAAGTCCACTCCAGCATGATTTATCCATCAAAAAATAAAGAACCGATAATTATTGTAATCTTAATATACCGGTCATAATTTGCTATATAATGAGTGACAAGACGATTTAATGCAATGATCTACCCAACCATGACTAAAACTACAGAAAGTAACCATATTCCTTCTTAATGCTTGTTATCCTTGAGTTAATCTTTTCTTTCAAGTGGATGTGTTGCATTCCTCTCATACTCATTAAACTACGGCTATCTTATACGTAGATGATTGCTTACTGCCAATAATGGAATCTTGAAACCCATAACCAAGAATGTTGATTGTTTTTGACTATATGTTGTCTTTTATAATTTTTTTTCCCCATCACCTGTCTTTTATATAGTGTTTGTTATAATGAAAAATGTATTTTCCATTTTTGTATTTATTAGCCAATCAAAAGCCTACTTATCCTTCCTCAAAACTAAGGTCACCGGATTGGGATAAATTGGAATTTCAAGTGAAAAAGGAGGTATGACTGTAATTTGGTTATTTTATATTGGTCTTCTTCCTTCTTTTTTTTATTACCAACAAAGTCTTGCCAGTTACAGATTTTAGTTTTATCCATGACTTGAATTTCAAGAAAACAAGAAGAACTGGCTTGATAAAGTTTTGAATAAACTTTTTTGAGACATATATTTGGATCTAATTGCCTAACACACTTATTTATACTCAACGATAATGCTATATGATAGTGACGATTTAATGTCACTGTTATATTAAATATTTATTCCGAAAAAGAGAGCTTCAAAGAACCTCCTCATTCTTTGATTTTTAGAATTTTTTTTTATTTCTTGGCATCTCAAAATGGAGGTGATTCTAACCAACATATGACACTTCATCCATATACTCACTCTTTCACCGTCTCACTTGCTAACCACCACAAAATTTATTTATTTTTTTTTATAAAAAACTTCAATTTTTGTTTCCATATAACATAACTATTTTGATAAAGTTTAAGGTGTCGACCTTACGTTTGGAATCAAAGTTTTACCTAAACCATGTCGGTTGCTTGAACTTGAGGTAAGGTTTCCTCAAAAACAGAAAGAAAACCACCACATATTCACAGATGGGATAAGGCTACCATACCAGAGAGAGGGGTATTGTACTGACATATCCAAGGTATATATATATCAAGATAAGCATACACCTTTGAATAAATCCATTCTTCACCACAGAGTTTCGAACCATAACATTAAATTAACAAATTTGGATGGAATTGTTGAATTGAAATTCAATCAAAACATTATTTATTTGATTTTTTTATTCTTTTTATGAGAAATCTCTTTTAATAAAGACAAAGTAATTTCTCAATTACAATAATAATATCGAGTTCACCGTCGTAGAGTAAATTTTAAATTGTTTATTTATAAATATTGATTAAACTGCAGAGTCATCAATAATAATTGATCATGTCCCGATTATTTTAATTAAATTAAGACTTTAATTACCGGGATATACGAATAAGTCAAAAACCCAATGGAAGAGGATAGAATCAACCAGTCCCACATTATATTAAGAGTCTCTATCGCTGTTCACCGTACGCGTTCCTACGGTAATAAAATAACTCCAAATCCCACACAAACCCACCCCCCAAAAAAAAAAAAAAAAAAACAAATTCCACCACCATACCCAGCTCAACCCAAACTCATCTCTCTCTCTCTCTCTCTCTCTCTCCCTTCCTATATTCTCTCTGTCTTGCCCTACCCGAAAGATCTCACCTCCAACGGCTCAGATACCACCGTAGCCCCCAATCTCTCTCACCTAATTCGCTTATACTTCAGTTTTCAATCTCTCTTTCTCTCACCGAAACACCCAGAAATCTGGCCCAGAGAGAGAGAGATAACCGGCAAATGCTCTAGCACAGAGCAGCTCAGATCCCTCTACTTTTACTATCTTAGAGAGTCAACGGAACCGCGTTCGTTTGTGTCTGAAACCACATCTTCGTCGTAGCCGCAGATCTAGAACTTGAAATTACTGGTACAAAAACACAACCCATTTGGAAATATTTTTTGAATTTTCGTTCAACCTATCAAACTATCTTGTCCGAAATAACTTCAATTATTATTTTCTGATTTTGGGTTTTTTGTTGGGTAGGAAATGGCGCCGACGACGATTCGGAAAGCGATTGGAGCGGTGAAGGACCAGACCAGCATCGGAATCGCGAAGGTGGCGAGCAACATGTCGCCGGAGCTTGAAGTCGCCATTGTCAAAGCAACAAGCCACGACGACGACCCGGCGGGCGAGAAATACATACGGGAGATCTTGCAGTTAACCTCCTACTCCAGAGGGTACGTGAGTGCCTGCGTTGCGGCTGTGTCCAAGAGATTAGGAAAGACAAGGGACTGGATCGTCGCGTTGAAATGCTTGATGCTAATCCACAGGTTGTTAAACGATGGTGATTCGGTTTTCCAGCAAGAAATCATGTACGCCACGAGGAGGGGCACCAGATTGCTGAACATGTCTGATTTTCGCGACGAAGCGCATTCAAATTCTTGGGATCATTCAGCTTTTGTGAGAACGTTTGCTTTGTATTTGGATCAGAGATTGGAATTGATAGTGTATGAGCGGAAGCAGAGTGGGGGTGGTCAAGAAATTGAGAGATTTGGATCTAGAGAGGAGCGTTGGAGATCGCCTCCGAACAAGGGTTATGATTACGATTACAACGAGTTTAGAGATGAACCTGGGTATGGGAACAATGGGATGAGAAGGTCGAGGTCGTTTGGGGATGTGAGAGAGTCGAGCACTTCACAGGAGAGAAAAGATGTGACCCCATTGAGGGAAATGAAGCCGGAGAGGATTTTGGGGAAGATGAGTCATTTGCAGAGGCTTTTGGACCGGTTTTTGTCGTGTAAGCCCACTGGAATGGCGAAGAATAGCAGGATGGTGTTGGTTGCTTTGTACCCAGTTGTGAGAGAGAGTTTTAAGCTTTATTCTGATATATGTGAGATTTTGGCAGTGTTGTTGGATAAGTTTTTTGATATGGAGTATGAGAATTGTGTTAAGGCCTTTGATGCTTATGTCAGTTCAGCGAAGCAGATTGATGAGCTTGTGGCGTTTTATAATTGGTGTAAGGACACCGGTGTGGCGAGGTCGTCGGAGTACCCGGAGGTGCCGAGGATTACAGGGAAGTTGTTGGAGACATTGGAGGAGTTTGTGAGGGATAGGGCTAAGGCGACGAAGAGCCCGGAGAGGAAGGTGGAGACTCAACCGGTGGCCCAGGAGGAGGAGCCAGTACCGGATATGAATGAGATAAAGGCGTTACCACCTCCGGAGAATTACACTCCGCCGCCACCACCTGAGCCAGAGCCTCCCAAGCCGGTGGCTCAACAGACTGGGGACTTGGTGGATTTGAGGGATGAAGGTGTGACTGCAGATGATCAGGGAAATAAGCTGGCATTGGCATTGTTTGCAGGGCCAGTAGCTAATACTCGAAATGGGTCGTGGGAAGCTTTCCCTTCAAATGGAGAACCTGAGGTGACCTCTGCTTGGCAGACTCCAGCAGCGGAGGTTGGAAAAGCCGATTGGGAATTGGCCTTAGTGGAGTCTGCAAGTAATTTGGAGAAGCAAAAGGCAACATTGGGTGGTGGGTTTGATCCATTGTTGTTGAATGGAATGTATGATCAGGGAATGGTGAGGCAGCATGTGAGCACTGCCCAATTGAGTGGTGGCAGTGCAAGTAGTGTGGCGTTGCCGGGGCCAGGGAAGGGTGCAACGCCGGTGCTGGCGCTCCCGGCCCCAGATGGAACTGTTCAGGCAGTTGGGGGAGACCCTTTTGCTGCTTCTTTGAATGTTCCACCGCCTTCGTATGTGCAAATGGCGGATATGGAGAAGAAACAGCAAATGCTGGTGCAAGAACAAGTGGTGTGGCAACAGTATGGTAGGGATGGGATGCAGGGTCAAACTAGTTTGGCCAAGATAAGCACTGGTGGGTACTATGCTCCGGGGCAACCACCAATGATGCCCTATGGAATGCCGCCGGTAAATGGCGCGGGAGTACCACCAGCTGGGTATTACTACACTCCTTACACGCCTTATTGATTTTGTCACTCATGTCCATATATTACTTTTCTCTGTTGAATTTTGTCATCTATCTTTTCCACTGTATTTTTTGTGATTCCTGAAATTTGTGCATTTCAATTGGGGAAAGGGGGGAGAAGCTGAACTGAAAAGACTAGAGGTTGTGGGGTTATTTAATGTTGGGTGCTCTGTAATCCAGTTGTTGTATCTCTATCTGTGTTGTAATAGTGAGATTTTATTTGCATCTGTGTTTATGTGATGCTTTTTTTTTTTTGGGAACATGAAACTAACTAGGTTCAATATAGTGAAGGTTATATCTTGAATGTTTCTTGTTGGCTTTACAATACCATTTCAATTGTTTCTATTTATTGAATCCCGTTTTATTCATTTGCTGTTTCACTTGATTTCTTGTTATATGATGCATTTACTATTTGCTCGGAGGGAAATAATTACCCTTTTAAACTTGGTAAATAGATGAGTTCTAGAGTTGAACTGCCGGATTATGATTTTTAGACTATCTCCAATGGAAATTCAAATCTTTACCCAAATTCGAGTAAAAAAAAAAAGGAAAAAGTTTGATTTGGTATAGACTTCTCTAATGGAGAAACTTAAATTTAAATGGGGAGAAATTCAAATTTAAAAAATTGTAAAATATAACCATTGGATCTTTAAAGATGAGACAAATTTCATCATTAAAGATTTTGGTATGAATTTGAGTATTCCTTCTTTTAATATGTGTATAGGTTTAACGTTGGAGAAGGTTTTTAAGATTTTTTTTACCTAAATTTAGATTTGGGTTTGAAAAAAGGGTAAGGATTAGAGATGCTTTAGAGATGCATGTAATTAGGGCTGATAATTGAATCGAGTTATTTAAGTTCGGCTCCAGATCGGATCATTTTGGACTCATTCAAAAATGAGTCAAACTTGAACAATTATTTAGGCTCATTTAAAAAACAAGTTTGATAAATTCGGGTTGAACTCGATAGACTTAACTTATTTATATATAAATACTCAGACTCAACTCAAATTTGACTCATTTTGAGATTGTTAGTTAGTTATAGGATTTTCAAGTGTTGCCATTGTTGTTTGTGTAGAATCCTACAAGCATTTGGCTTTAGTTAAGCGTACTTGAAATATTAGAAAGGTTAGGAAAAAAATTGGTATCAGTTGGTGGGGAGCTTCCATTAGGCTTGATGCTAATCTGCGTAGTAGAGACACAAATAACTAGTAATGGGTGTCTGTTATTATCTATAGATGATTATTCCCTGTCTGGCTTTGTATCCTAATCTAATTAAAGTTAACTTTTGGGTGGTTAATTTTCATTTAAAGCAATGCTACATAGACTTAAAAATTAAAATTGATAATTTCAACCATTGATTTTACTGTGAGTCTCAGTATTTAATTGAGACCCACTACCTATTCAATGATTGAGATTATCAAGTCTAAGTTTTAAGTCTAATTTTTAAGTCCATCTAGCATTACTCATTCATTTATAAGGATCTTATTTGCCAGAAAACTTGGCTAGAGGGTGAAACATAATTCAAAACTTGGCTAGAGGGTGAAACATAATTCCTCAAAACTTGTCAACTTGGACAAAACTTTGCACAAAATATTGGGAAATCCAACCAGTAACTCTTATTTTCATTGTTTTTTTGGATTATTGCCTAAACATATTTTCCTGTTTTCTGTTTCTTATAATTTTTTTAGAATCATATATTCAAAGAAATTTTGTGATATAAAAACACTAAAAAACACATTCTTAATTTTTTTTTCTAAAAATGTGTGTTCGGATACTATTTTTTGAGATGGAGTTGACTACGGTACTATTTTTTTTATTTTTTTTGGTATCATACCTCTATTTATTACATTTGTAATTGTTTTTATCATATTTGTAGGTTTTTTACCACGATTATGATACCCAGAAAAAATGATAAAAATAATTATCATAACAATGATAAAAATATTTACAAATGTGATAAAAATACCCACAAATATGGTAAATTACTTACAAATGTGATAATTTTTTTTGTATCAAATAAAAATAATAAAAATAGTTACCACAAATATGGTAAAAGCATTTATAATAGTGGTAAAAATACCCACAAAAGTGATAAATTTTTCTGTTGTAAAATAACCTACAAAAATATAAAAATACACATTAAAATAGTAAAATTGAAGGTATGATATCCAAAATTTTTCTTCGGCACCGTAGTCTAAGCCTTTTTGAGATATGAAATTGAAACACAACCCATGTTTCTCTAGACATTTCCAAAAATTACACCCGGGCTCTCTGAGCAAACACTAGTTTCTGTTTTTGTAAAATGTTCCTCCAGAACCTTAGAATTGTCTTTGAGTCACTTTCTTTCTTTCTTTCTTGGTTTTTTCATGTACTTTTTGAATCAGTGGTCGCTTTTACTGCTTTCCACACTGCCTCTTTTTCCTGGTTCACATATGTTTTGACTACACGTAGAGAACCGACTTGGAACAATAACAAACGTTTATTTGCTGAAGCGACATGTTGCAGGTTTGACTCGGGGTAATGGTGCTCACAACTTATTTCTGATACAAAAATAGTCGCTGTGGACAGTGTTAGACAAAAATAGTGACCTTTCTGTATATTACTGCATTGAGAAGATGTGAGGTCATGGCTGAGAAAAAATAATGAGTTGAATTAAGAAGCATATGGGTTAGTCAAAAGGTCGCCTGGTCGTGCATAAGAAAACAAATTGAAAATCCCAAATGCTTATTCAAGGATCTGAAGGAAAAAGAAAAGGCTATTTTGTTTTTAGATAAATAAGTCAAAAAAGAGATTGGAGTAACCCTAGAAAATCCCAACACAGGTATTCGACAAGTGGCAAACTCGACAAGTGACGAGCTCGGCAAGTTCGGCTACATAAGTGGATTCTACAATAGCCTGATTCAAAAAATAAGAAGAGGAAAAAAAATTTCATTCAGAGAACATTTCATTCATAAATGAAAGGGAGAAAGGGAACCAACAACCATAGCTCCAAAAGTATGAATACATAGTTCAAAAGGTTACAAAAGGAAGAGGGATGTAACGACAAAGACAGCTCAAACAGCCGTTTCAGCATCCCCAATTTGCTTGGCAGCCTTCTCAGCATTAGGCACTTTTTCAGCTGTAGCAGTATCTTTGTCCGAACTGGTCACCCCAACAGACTTCAAGCCTTCAAGTTGAGGAGCAAAGCAATCAATGTCAAGGTCAGGGTATGCCTCCTCAGCCTGATCTTGGAAGTTCAGAAACCCATTCACGAAGGACACGACCCCCTCCTTCAAAAGTTCTGAGACCTTGCCCCTCGAAGATACCAGCTCAGTTTCCTTAGCGGCCAGCTCGGCGTCCTTGATCTTCAATTCGGTGTCCCTAACCGCCAGCTCAGAATCCTTTAGCTTGACATAATCTTGGAAGCGAGCATCTAGCTCGTCGAAAAATCTTTTCATCTCGATCGCCTCGGTTGACAGAATTTGCAATTTATCCTCGACCGCATCCTTAGCGGTCGTCACGACGTCAAGAGGCCCTGGACCTTTGCAAGCTTCTGCCTATGATGGAAATCTATCATCTTCACACAGGTGAGGACCTGAAAAGAAAAGAGGGCCAGTGAGCACAACAAATGACTAAGAGCACCTAGAGGTTGAAGAAAACTTAAAAAAAAAAAGGAAGAGAGAAGAGTACCTCGGCCAGGCTCTGGATGGCATGCCGCACTTTTCCTTCAAAAGGAACTTGCATGGCCAACTTGGGATCTGACGTAGAGATTAGCTCGGACAAACCAGCCACAGCAGCCTCAGGGTCACAAAGAAAATCGCTCCTTTGTGGCTTGGGCGAGAAATGGACGTTTTCCCCCTTGCGGCTCGCCAAGAGACAAGTCAAGGCCGAGGAGGAACGTGTGAGGCCACAGAAGCCCCGGGCAGCCCCGTCGAAGGTACTTTAGGAGGAATCTTACTCTCGGGGTGATCAGTGGACAGCGAGGGCGAGGAGGTTGGCTCAACAGAGGCAGGGTCCTCGCGTTCTTGTTCTAGAGAAATGACATCGGACCCAGACACCGATGCCACCTTGGGGAGTGGTCGCCCTCCCTTTGCTGATTTCCTCCTCTTCCTTGACTGCTCAAAGTCCGAGAAAATCGACATGATCAAGCTGGAGTCCATAGTCTCAGTCTGAGGGATAGGCAAAGATGTTGTCCCTGATGGAAGATCAACTAGCGGACCAAGCTCGTGCTTAGCGAGTTTCTTGTCAGTCACCAGATCGAAAAAGGATTGCAACCCAAAGGCCTCAGCCTTAGTGAGTTGGGCAGTCTCCTTTGCATTCAGAATATGACCAAAATATGCAAGACAAGCTAGAGTAAGTAAAAATGTGAAAATTAGAAGAAAACAAAAGAGAAAGCTTAGCCAGCTAATTGGCCTTACTGATATTCCTTGGAATCCCCCACGTCTTGGGGATGCGACAGACATCACCAGGCTCCCCAGACAGCTCCCAAAAGTCCCCCTAACAAAGAAGAACTTAGGTTTCCACCCCTTGTTAGAAGAAGGGAGCCCGAAAATCAGAGTCTTCGCCTTTACCCTTTTAGCGAAATATAAAAAGCCTAAGGAAGGAGAAGACTTAAGCTAGAATAGGGAGGCGAATTCTGAGATGGAAGAGGGGGAGTCATTTCCACTCTCAAACCAGTGGACAAGAAAATTGATTAGAAGGCCCCAACCATTAGGAGAGAGCCTAGCTAGACAGACATTGTAAAAGGCAAGGACGTCCCAAATGAAAGAATGAACAAAAAAATGGAGGTCAGCCTAAAACGCGAACTCGTAGAAGTAGGTCAAGCCCGTGATAGAGAAATTACACCTTTCGTGCTTCTTAGGGGGGTGCAAAGATATAGAATCAAGGAAGCGGTACTCCCGCCTCAGATCCTCCAGGTCTCCCTCGTCGAGACAGCTGGAGGTATCCTCCGCACAGTAGGACAGGTCGGACAGGTCACGTCAAGGCCTCTTCTTGGGAATAGAGGGTGGCGCAGCCCTAAACTCCCTCTTCCTAGGCTGAACGCGAGGACCAGGAGGCAAAGTGGAGAGAGGATCGACATCTACAGGAGGCGCCGAAGATGAAACTCTGGGGACAGACTCCAAAGCCTCATCATTAGCAGAAGATGAACGACCGCTAGAAGAAGTCGTTGAGGCCCCCTCGGTCCCCTCATCAACAAACTCCGACTCAGAAGAAACAACGAATTTACCCATCAAAACTCAGATTGTAAACCGGAATGAAGAGAGGGCAAATGCAAGGCGTAATCTGTTCAAAACAGAGGTTTCAGACACCAAGCTCTAAAAAAGAGTACCCGTGATGCGAAAAGG